CTCCACCACTACTGAAGAGACTTAGGGTTACACAGGCAAGTTTGTCAGGACAAAAGCAAAAGCTGGCACTTCCTGTGCTTGAATCCTGAAAGATAGAACTCCCCAAGAGAGAATTAAAAAAAAAAAGATAAAACTCCCCTAGTCAGATGTGTAAGCTACAGACTTTAGCCACTTGCCAAAGACCAAAGATTCTACTTTGTTGAGCTAATAGACTTAGATTTAGAGCAGGAGGGAGTACACACGGAACTGGATGGGGGGTGGGAGGGACCTTTCATGTTTTACAAGCAAGAGGAGGCTAACAATCTGGTTAGTCAGCAAGCATGAATCCTCATTAATGTCTTCATCCAAACACATTTTCTCCACACAGCTGTGAAAATATAAATTCACTGGACTGTTCTGACCAACACAACCAGAAAAAAAAAAAAAAGGTGATGCCGAAGAATTAATTAGATGAATAACACATGCCAGCAATGTGTAGGAAGGACTGTCTGGGCAATCATGTTATAGGCTGAGATGTTACAGCCTTGGACCCCCAAGGAAACTCAAAACTGCAGGTATCCAAGTCCTTTATATAAAATTGTCTAGTGGTTGCATGCTACCTATTCACCCCGCATACACTTTTAGTCACCTCTAGATTATTTATAGCAACTCATGATGTAAATGCTTTACAAATAGTTGTTGTGCTGTGTTATGTAGGAATAATGACAAGAAAAACCAGCTGTATATGCTTATAACAGGGGTGTGGGGGTGTGATTTACTTGGAACTGAACCTAGGACCTCTAACATGCCAGGCAAACATACCACTAAGCTATATCCTAGGGCTTTTTTTTTTTAATTTATTTTGACAAGAGGTATTACTAAGTAACCTTGAACTTGCAATATTTCTGCCTCAGGTTCCTGAGTAGTTGAAATTGTAGGTCTATGGCAGAAAGCTTGGCTAAATGCTTGTGGGTAGGATGGAGGTGGTGGTTACTGGAGTTTAAACTCAGGGTTTTGTATGTGATAGGCAAGCGCTCTAGCACTCCACTACAGTCCTAGCAATTTTTCTTTCCAAATTCAATTTGTATCAGGTGGAGTTTATGAATGCAAAACCTACAGATAATGAAGAGTAACCTGAACATCAAAATTCATACAGCTGTAAACTTCCTTGAGAGGCCACCAAAGAGCAGAACAAGGTGGGAATAAGTCCACCACCAAGCAGGAAACTAGGTCAGGAGAACAGGAGCACTCACTGCTTTCAGCACTGTGCTAAGGATAGCATCTCACTGTGGTCCACAATAGCACCTTTACACCTGGTTTACATGGAAGATAATTAGGAGCAAAGAGACTGACCTATCAATCACTTATGGATCCTAAGGCATAATATAAATTTGGGTTAACACCAGAGTCTGTTTCCAACCATGTCATTGTTCTTGTTTTCTATGCATTTGGAGTTATGCTTGCATTATATAGACAAAAAAAGCATATGGCTTTTACAACCTGATGGAACAACCAGGTAAGATACACATGAGACAATTGGAAAACAGAATGGGAGTAGAGGCTGGGGTACAGTGCTTTTAGGTGAAGGGCATAATTTGCAAAACCGGAGGCAAGTGAATGTAGTTCAGCTGTGCTGATTTTGCTATGCATTTCCACCAGACTCAAAACCAAAGAGAAAGATGTGAAGAAGAGTATACCAGTGACCTTCTGACCTGGTGTGGCACGCGTGCTGAAAAGGGCTCTCCTTTACAGAATCCTTCTGATGAAGATCAAGACAGCCAGCCCATATTCACTACACCATTAAGTGACCATAAAAACATCCACAGCCTCCAGGACGGCAGCTGAGACAAAGAGAAGAGACATTCCCAAGGCCCACACTAACAGAGCTGTGGTGACTGTTCCTAGCCGCCAGAGACCGAGCAGGGAGGGAACAGTTTGCCTCATCTCATCAGTTCTTTTCACTGTAAATTAACCAGCCCAGGTTCTGACCAGTGAAGCTGTTTAGAAGCTACTTCCCAGCAGCATCAGGGTTGGGGGAACCAGCAAGAAGCATAGTCATTCTGCTAATCATCCTAATACTCACACCCAACACCAACCTCCCTCAGAAGCTATGACAGCAATCTATCTGCATGCATTTGCTATCCCGAAATGTCTACTGGGCTCTAAAGTGACCATGGCTTTAGAAATCTATATTTTCTCAGGTGAGATGGCATATTGTCCTCAGCAGCCTAGTGGTGGAGAGGTGCAGGGCAAGTCTTCAGAGCGCAGAGCAGGCCGGGCCACTCTGTAATCAGTGTCTAGCCTTGACTCAAGTTTCATGTGGGCTCAGGGAAAGAGCTATAGAAATGAATACACACACACTGCCTGGCTTGAGTGTTCACCAAAAGCTCTCATTCATCTGACAAGATCCCTAATATTTCCAAGGGCCCAAGCAATATTGAGCAAAACAAATATTTTCCACATACAGATAAGATTAAAAAAAAAAAAAAAAGGCAAAGTACTCAGTTCAAACTGCCAGCTTGTGGAGCTCAAAACCTCCAAAGGAACTTTGAAAAAAGTATTCATAACGTGCCCAAGTCTTTGACTCTGATTGAAAGGGCCTTGGTGAGGCCTGAACACTGTAACATTGGTCCCTGATTGTCATCTGCATAAAACAGCCAAGACTGAAATGCCACAAACAATGGAAAGTGGGATGTTCCATCGGCAGACTCTGAAATGAATGTATTTGATGCATTTAAAAGTCTACTCCTGGGCCAGGTGTGGTGGTACAAAGCTTCAATACCAGCACTTTGGAGGCAGGGGCAGGGGAATCTGTGTATTTAAAGCAAGCCTAGTCTTCATAGCAAGTCCCGGTTTAACCCGGATTACATAGAGAGACCCTGCCTCAAAGGAGAAAGGGGGGCTAGTTTTCCTTATGGGTGAAGAGAAACTACCACAGAACAAACAGCCTTGATTACAATTCTACTGATACTATTTACTAGCCAGGTGACCTTGGACAGGTGTAGTCCTTTGAATAAGAATGGTTTGGTCTTCAGTTGGTAGAAATGTTTGAGAAGGATTAGGAGGTGTGGCCTTGTTGGAGGAGATGTGTCACTGGGGGCTGGTTTTTTGGTTTTAAAAAGTCTATGCCATTCCCAGTTAGCTTTCACTCTACCTCGTGCTTTAGATCAAGATGTAAGTCCTCAATTATTGCTCCAATGCCATCCCTGCCTGCCTACTGCCATGCTTCCCACTATGATCATCATAGACTTACCCTTTGTAGCTGTAAGCCCAATAAACTCTGTCTTTTATAAGTTGCCCTAGTTATGGTGTCTCATCACAGCAATAGAAAAGCAACTAATAACAAGTTACAGAAAGCCTAACACATGGGGTTAACAATCACACCAACATTACAAAGTGGGACATAATTAGCCCCAGATCTGGCATGTGTTAAATGCTTGATAAGTGTCAGCCTTCTTAATCAATAATTATAACCAAGGTAATAACATACCAGTTGTATTTCAATTTAAAAAAAATGCTTGTTTGGACTGGATGATTCTTTTTAGTACCAGACAGATTAATAAAAGAAGAGTGAAGAACTGAGATATTAGAGTTCTAGAAACAGTTTCCCACAGAGAATGGCTGAAGGAAGCAGGAATGTTTAGCAAGGATAGAAACAAGTGATGGGGCATGGTGGTACAATCCTGTAATCCCAACACTTGGTAGAAACAGGAGGGTCAGGTGTTCAAGGCCAGCTTTGTCTATATAGTAAGTTCAGGACCATCTTGGACTACATGAGATGCTATCACATGAAAGAAAAGAAGGAAAACATTAAATAGGCGAAATACATAGTGATGTCTTCAGCAGTGCAGTTGGGTCCAAAGAAGGTCATCTGGTTGCATATGGCTAAAGAGAAAAAACCTTGTAAAGAATTCAGAAGACCTGGAAACTTGGATAAAAATAATAATTAAAAAAAATTCTCATTAATCTTATGTGGAAATTTAGCATTTCTCTAATTATAAATATTTACAACAAAACTAGATAGAAACAGAAGTGATCTTCTGAACTGATCTTGTCACCAATGAAAATAACACAGATTTTCGCATCATGTCATGGTCATGGTAGATATCTTATGATACGAAGGCTATTTAGGGTGACCAGTTGCCTCCATTTGCACAGCTTAGAGGGATTTCCTAGAACAGGAGGCATCATGTCACTAGGTAACAATGGTCAGTGACGTAATAACGGTGCTCTTAAATTACCATCCCCCAGTTTCAAAATCATCCTATCTCATAAACCCAAATCAACAGTTTTCTCCATTATTGATATTTTCTTCAAATGTTTAGCGTATTTAAAGTATTATTTTAAGACCATAGCCTTCATCGAAGTGGTACACAGCACACACACACACAAACACACACACACACAAACACACACACACACACACACACTGAGAGAGAAGGACTGTAAGACCTTTGGCTGCAAAGCAGAAGCCTCAAGATTTAAGCTCCTTCAGATCAGTAGAGCTAAATGCCACAGTGAATCACGCAACACAGGAAGATTTGGAAATGCATCTCCACAGCTACTGGACAAAGCCATTTTTCTATCATCAGAAAAATCTCTAATTTCTCCACTACCTACATAGATCTGTGTATATTTTATGGCCTAGATTGCTGCAGACTCACCTCAGACTTGAGACCTATCAGTTGGAATATTTATTTCCCAATTGCTACAGATGAGTCCTGTAAGAATCATATTTTGACAGATCTTGCTTTATCTTTTCCATTAAATAAAACAATATAAATATAGAATAAAAATAAAGTTTAGTGAAATAATGGAAAGAAACAGGTACACACACCTGAAATCTCAAGATTCAGGAGGAGGAGTTCAAGGACAAGCTAGGCCATATATATATATGTAGCAAGTTCCAGGCCTATATAGGAAGACCCTATATCCAAAACTCCTAAAGGGGTGAAGGAAGGGAGAAAATGTAAAACAAAACAAAACAAAAAGGTGATTGAAAAAAACCCTCAAACTCTTACCAGACACCACTGGGCTTCAGACAGACGTTGGCTCCCATTTTGCCTTATGCCCACTGTTGACAGAGGTTGCAGTGCATTCCCACAAGGCCATAAAAGACCGGCTCTCTTCTGATCAATGAAATTCCAAGCAGCCAGCCCAATATGGCCAGAAGGCAGGGTTCTCATGATGGCTCTTGTCCCAGTATACACAGACTTCTTAACTTCCCTGTCGTTTTTACAAAACCGTCTGACTAACAAAGTGGACCGTTCCTTTTTGCTTTTAAAAAAATCGTCTACCTCTTCACAACTGTCAGAGAGATCCTCCAAAGGGTTCAGGCAAGTCTTGGTAGGAGGACTGTGAGTAAGGCCCTCCCTGCAAAAGCCACCTTGACCTGAGCAGACCGCGTTGGCCTTCTGGAAGGAGCCCTCAAAGCAAAGGTGTTTATCGGGCAGCGAGCTGCAGTGATCACACTGCAGCTGCCCATTCTTCTCACCACAGTTTTTGGTCAGTTCCACCAGTTTACAAGTATACGCCGTGTAACTTTTCCTCTGCTGTCCCCCAGGAAGGGTGACACAGTTTGCACAGTCATCCAAAATTAACTTCTCTGACAGGGTGTGAAAAGCATCCGACACCGTTCTGTCAGCTTCGTAGCGGAAATGAAACACCGCCATGCTGCTGTCAGGGTGAGGCCCGCTGGACTGCGTGACCCCGGGCTGATTTCCCGAAGGACTCGCGTCCATGGGTGAGTCCTCCGTGGCCAGGTGAATTCCGGGGAACGCCTTCCTTTCCAGGGGAGAAGGAATTCCAGTTTGCCAGCCCAGGTCCTCCTCGGCGCCGGGGTCGCAGACTCCACAGAGCCGGCTCCGAGGAAGGTCATGCTGGCGGCTTTGCCCTGAGCCGTCGCCGTCGACGGAAGCCGGTAAGGTTTCCTCCCAGCGCTTCTCGCTGCGGTCCTCACCGCTCGCTGTTTGCCCCCTGGCTCTCGGGACGACGCTGGACAGATCGCCCCTGGAAGAGTCCTGGGTGGGGTTGTGCCACGGTGAGACGGTGTGAGCAATCAGCCTGCCCCGGCTGCTGGCGCGCGCCTTGGCGACACCGGCCTCGGAGGCCTTTTCGCCCTTCTCCTCCGCCGCTGGCTGGGCCGAAGCCACGTTCCTCGGAGTCACAGGCCTGAGGACGGAAGTGGACATTTCTTCGGAAGTCATCTCGCCCGGCGTCCTTCGGCTACCCTTCCGTGTGCCCTTCCCTGGAGATCATGTCAAGAGAACAGATAATCTCAGATAATTCCAGTCTTTGTGAGGATCGAGTTGACAGCTCCTTTCGTTCGGATGTATTAAGAGCCAAATGAAACTCTCCAGTTGTAATTTCCTACAAGAACAGTTTGTTTTGGACCAGCAGCAAAACGACGGGTCAGTATTCTTTCCTCTGTTGCTTGAAGCTAGTTTTTTTTTTTTTTTTAGAAGTAGTTTGTTCAGGATCACATTCTGCGACTTATGGTTTATTGTTAATGAGCAATGACTTAAAAATCCAGTTTGAATGTTTTCTGTTCCCTGTAAGAAAAGAGATAATGTCAAAAATTATGGCATTAAATAGTTTTTTTTAAGTGAGTTCATGATTTTAAGTTAGTGGAAAATATAGGCCAATTCTGAGGAGAGAGTTTTGTAGTCAAAAGTTGGTTTTAATAGTTTAAGCACTTATCATTTTGGTTTAACAGTTCAGAATTTCTGCTCCCAGCAAAAACAAAGCACAAAGATTCAGATTTATCCTGATGCATTAAATAAGGTCTAAGCAAGAAAAAAGAAAAAAAAAATGGTTTTCACACAATGAACAGTCAAAACAGGGTATTAATATCTGAATCAAAAGAAAAATGAAGAGAGTGCATTTAGAACTTGCTGCTTAGAGAGTTGCCAGAGCTAGGTAGAACTCAATAGGCTATCTAAATAGAAGAGAAAAAGCTGGAACTTCGGGAAGGCCAAAGGTGCTAAGGGAGGTAAGACAACAGTTGCACAGAGAAGACCATATATTTCTCAGCAGAAACAGTGCAAGCAAGGAAATAGCAGAATAAGAAAAAATACTATTAGGCAGAATTCTATACCCAACAAGTATCTTTTACAAATGGAAATGAAGTAAGAGCTTTTTCAGACATGCAGAACCAAAAGAATTCATCAGTAGCAGGGCTGAACTATAGAAACTATTAAAGGAAGGCCCTTGTGCGGGGAAAAAAAATTCAAGATATGTCTATATAAAAGAATAAAAGCCTAAACATACTAAATATGTGCATTGGGTTTTTTCTCATTTTTAAATCTCTTATCAAGATAATTGACCATCTAAAGCAAAAGTAGTAACAGTGTTGTGTGAGATTTTTAATAAATACTGAAGTGAGTTCTGGGCAGCACAGAGGTCTACATGAATCATTCTATGGTTATTTCTACATGAATCATTACATGGTTACTTAAAGGTAGACTAAAGATGTACACTCTGAACCCTAAAGTAATCACTTAGGGAAAAAAAAGCACTAAAATTAAAAATTCAGTTAATTTTAAACATGTATGAAAACAAAGAAGAGATGAGACAAAAAGGAAACTTAACAGTGGATTTAAATATTCCAAAATGCATCTTTAGTTAACATCTCTAGTCCCTTCCCCCGTCAAAATGATACATTTAAAGAAAATATCCCTTTGGTCTCATTTGAGTAAGAAATTGTTTGGATAAATATAAATAGACACAAAAGACTGCTTTATGAAGATGTAGTATTTTTAAATGGCTTAGCAAGTTTAACAGCTTAGTCTTTTTCCTTCAATAGCATTGTTGAACCTCTACCTTGTGCTTCGTATTATTCTGTGGTATAGACAGCAAACACCTGCATGCAGCCCTATTAACAGAGAGTCAAGCAAATTCCCATGTGATTTGGAAGGTGCTGTTAGCAAGGCTAGTCCGGTACCTCAGGACCAGAGGGTGCCATCCCAAGTGGTCCCTTTCTTCCTAGGTGCAGCCCCTCCCTCTGAGCAGTTCTTCAAAGGTCACCTTCCCTTGACACACCAGCTACACTACCTTTGCTCCTTGTCACACAGATGTCACTCTTCTGTTTCCTCCTTTCCAAGAAAACCTACCAGCTGCTACTTTCTTATCATGTATGTGTCTCTTCTGGCATAAGCATAGCTCCTTACCTGCTCCCAGCATGTGGAGATTTTCACAACTATCCTCCCAACACAGAGAACATTGTGGTAATCATGTCTTTCATAGGGAAAAAGCCAGCTCTCTCTCTCTCTCTCTCTCTCTCTCTCTCTCTCTCACGCACACACACACACATGAACTCACACATATCCACCTACCTCTGCCTTCCAAGTCCTGGTATTAAAGCTGTGTACCACCATGCCTGGCCATACTACAAATATGTTAAAGCTCCTCCTTGAACAATATTCCATATGCATTAATAGCCACAGAGATGTCCATATTAACTGTCAAATACTAACTTGCACTGAACATGTTGTTTGTACATGCTTTTAAAATCCACAGTATGTTTGTCAGAGCCAGATGGTCAGGGAGTTTGCTGTGAGACTATGTCAGAAGTGAATTCCAGGAGAGTGGGTTCCATAAAGTCTCACCAATCTGAGTGTCTAAAATGATCTGGACCAGTACTACAACAGCAGGGTAGGGAAAAGCCCATGAGGCTTCAATCCTACACAAAGAGCCTCTTACAGGCAACTTAGGAATGTTGAGGGCAGGGCAAGTAGTCTTCCAGTTGGTTATCCAATATCAAATGCTCAACCCTGAAAACATACATACAAATAATATTATACAGAGCACAGACCAAGCAGGTTATATTTTATATGCCTGTATATACATATAAACATGTAATAACAATGAAAAAAAGAAGCCATACATTTTCAAGAGAGCTAGGAAAGGTGTATGGGAGGACTTGAAGGGAGAAAGGGATGGAAGAAATGTTGTAATTTTATTGCAATAACAAAGTTTTTTAAAGAATGAAAAATTAAAATATGTATGCACAAACAGCTTTCTATTTCAAGAATGCTACAGATAACTTTAATGGGTTATGACACTAATTTGGATTCAGGGTCTTTGCTTTACTCTTCTAAGAACTATTTTATTCCAAAGCCTTCAAATCCATAGCTGGTCCATGGTTTTGTTTGGGTTGTTTGTTTGTTTGTTTTTCACCCATGAAAAGGGTAAGTGATTTTAGGTAGAAGAAAGGGACAAACATTTTTGATGCTAAGTACACTTCAATTAATTAATATCTCAGGTAATTCTCACTCATTCCTGTGAAATAAAAGTGATCATTTGATAATAACATAAGTGCTTTTGATACTCTTCTTTACAAAAGGTAGGACATGATTCTCCTTGTGGATATGGGTTATGCTAGTGACTTCCTTCTAACACAGGGTATTTAATGGAAAGAATCTTGAGGACTTGTGGTATAGGTCATGGGGCTCTGGGTCAGCTGCTGCTGAGCATCCCTGCCAACATCACGTTGAGTGCATCATCTTGAGAGAGTCTCCTCTGGCCTCCATCAAGACTTTCAATGTATACAGCTGCAGCCAGCACATGTAACCTCATAGGAGACCCTCAACCACTGGGCGGTGGTGGCACATACCTTTCGTGCCAGCACTCAGAAGGCAGGCCCAGGAGGAGCTGTGAGCTTGAGGCTAGCCTGGTCTACAAATTAAGTTCCAGGACAGCAAGGGCTATAAGAAGAAACACTGTCTCAAAAAAAAAACAAAAAACAAAAACAAACAAACAAACAAACAAACAAAAAAAAAAACGAGAGAGAGACTCTCAATCAATAAGCCCTCTCCCAAATTCCTAACTACAGTTATATGGAATAATATGTGTTTATTGGTTTTCACCATCAATTTTGTGATACATTATAACATAGCAACAGATAATACAACTAACTTCTGCCCTCTGTACTTGGGAAATTAGAAATCCAGGCCTAGAAAAGCTAAGTCAACTAATGGGAATGATGGAAATGATGGAGACAGTATTCAAATCTAAGAAGCCTGACTCCAGAAACTTTTCCTCATCACAAGCTGTGTTGTTTTCTCTTTCGTCTAGTCTGAGACCTTGTGGTTTCAGGTGCTGGTGTTCTTATAAAGACACATGGCTGCTGGGAGTAGCCCACCTTTTATTTGAGTTTGTTCCAGAGAGCTGGAGATTATAGACAGCCCACTGAAGCCATGATCTTTGTTTTGCTTCCAGCTCTATTCAGGAATGAGAAACATCATGGAGAACTGACTCCCTAGGCTTGGCTCCATATCAAAATATTCCTTTTTTTTTTTTTCAGCAAATGTTTACTTAGTGCAAAATTAAAAAGAAGCAGGCATCTTCCCTTTGATTTCTTTATGAGCTAATAAATTACCAGTCAAGGTATGCTACAGACAGGGGTGTATCAACACTGAGGAAGAACACCTAAAACAGATGGTGGGCATGAGATAGAATTAATTTCCACAGAAGGTTTCCTGGACATAGTGACGATTGAACTGCATTATTAAAGACAAGTACAAGTCAGCAAAATGATGGGGTGGAGTGCACTTTCCAGAGAAGAGCAATGTGAATTGAGATGAACAAAAACAGCCAAATACAGGGTCTGGGACCTCTGCAAATATTTTACAGCCAGGGTTTGAGATTTTTGCCTACAAAATAGAAATAGAATCACCTTCAAAAATAAAGTTGCGAATGAAATGAAAGATAGCAAGTCAGGGGAAGTGTCTTTAATTCTACATTATTCACAGGAAAGGACAATCAAGACTTGGGGGCTCTGCTGTGGTGGTGACACGGTGTTGAATTTACTCTCACTAGACAACTGTACACACCTTCCTCACCAGGTCTGCTTGGTCTTCATGCTGGAACCAACTGCTTGAACATCAGTTTTGCGGCCACAAATTAGTTATCATTCTTGAATTATACTTTCCATATCGACAATACTAAAGAAACACCTATGTGACATATGTCAAAAGTGGTTAGCCAATCAACAGATATTCATTTCTATATCTAGACCCTCATGGAAAGTCCTGGGCTGACTTTAAAAGAAATGGTCAAGTAACATTAGAATTAAAGTTACAGTGAGCATTGAAATATTGTCTAAACAAAATTTGAAGCAACAAAATGTGAACCATACTCTAACAGATTGGAAAAGCAAACAACGGATGTAGAATGGGACTGTTTTTCTTACTGGGACATTTTTATGAAGGAGACTAATAAGACCACCCTGTGAGAGTTCAAATAATATATGACGTAAGAATATGTAATATGGGGAGGGGGTGTCAAGGTAGTATGTCTAAGCTACAGATTTATTGAGAATATATGGTATGATTAGGGGAATGAATAACCAAAAAAAAAAAAAAAAAAGCTATGGAGATGCAAGCTGTGTTGGAAATCATAGACAAAGCAGTAAGATA